TGAGCTCCATTTCACTGCTGAAAAAAATATTTAAGTATCGCTACTCCTTTTCCATGTAAAATGTGTGCAATACTCGATTGCTTTATTTTTCTGGTAGAACATAGGAGGTACATCACATTATATATGTTTTTTTGCTATCTTGATACAGTGGCTGCTCATCTTACGGGTATACATAGTGCTATAAAAATGCTTAATAGCAGAATCAGAGTGCTTGACGACTATCTTCTTTCCATGCAAAAAGGTGACCACTTTCTCTTATTGGAAGTCAAGTTGTAATTTAAATACCTTGCCTTAGAAAACCCTGACTTGTGGTGTTTTACTGCAAATGCAGGTGAAATTCCGTCTGAGAATTCTTTGCTAAGGCAGGTCTCTAGTCTCTTGAGAAGATTGCCCGCAATTGAGTCCGAGAAATTCCAAGATGATTTCCTAATGGTGAGTATTAAATGGAATAAGTGTAATTATTTATGCAGTGGGGGTTATACCATGCAGATGGTGAGCAAAACGGAATGGAGTTCCTTATTGTCAAAATTTTATACAGTTTCTTCTGTAAGCTACATACCATCAAAGAAACCACAAATTACCTTTAAGCTCTGCTAGGTTATTTAACTGTACTAAGTACTACGTATTAGCATTTTTTTTAAAGTAGATTGTGACTGCTTTGTCATTTTATTGAGCAGGAATATAACGACACACTGTTAGTGACTTACCTGGCAATGTTCACCAACTGCTCAAGGTATGGTTCATATACTGTTTTGGCCAAAAGTTACTTTAACTCATAGTGAAGTTGTGTTTGGATTGATTGCGATCCCCGTTTGGTAGGATTGTAGGAATCATTTCCAGCTTGTAAAACCATTTTTTTCATTACAGTAACTGATTACACAGTGCTGAATGAATTGGCTAAATATACAAAAGAGAGTCGAGCATGAGTTACTTACTAGGCTGAAATGACTGAAATTGGTACTTCAACCTATATTTTTTATGGTGTTTTCATTTACTTATAATAGATTTTTAAATTAACTATTCAGATCACTCAGAGTTAATTCAAGCATAATTCAGTCATTTTGAACTGTCGCCAGATCAGCTCTTAATTTTCAATGCACTTGGCCAAATTCACACTTTATTGACTTCAAAGCTATGTATTTTTTTCTTTTTCAAAGTGATGTACTAAAACTAAATCCATATCTTCTTTTTGCGTGTTGGCATCTGGTATATCTAACAAACTTCCATTCGCTGGATGGCAGCACAATGAACGAGCTGGTTGACAAATTCAACACTGCATATGATAGGCACAGTAGGAGAGGAGGGCGGACGTCTTTTATTTGAGCACTCAATTAGTGCTCTTGAGCAATATTTTTCCAACCAAATTACCAAGAGAATTTAGGGATGATGAGTTCTATCTTGTCCAAAGGCCATCAGCATTGTAGAAATCAGTGACATGTATCTATTTTTAATATGTTCTACTTCTTTCCTTTTTATCTGCTATTTGCATAGGCACTAGCAACTCCCTTTTTGTCGGTACTCGTTTCTTCACTTGGCTTTTGATGATTAGCTTAATACCTTTGAATATGTTACAAAGTTCTCTATTTGTAGACATTTTTTGGAATTTATAAAACATTTTCTGGAATTGGATGTTATCTTCTGATGAAATTGCAGATCTCATTTAACACATTAGTAGAAGCTGGAATTGCCACTGTAGTAGAAATGGTGAAGTCATTGAATTTTTGAATTTGAGGTGAGTAAAACATAATGCAGAAATATATAGTTCCCTGCCTTCAAATTCAAAGCTCCTTAAAAACAGTTCAGTAGACATAAACGGCTGATTCTAATTTGCCATTTAAGCCTTCGGGCTTTGCCAGACAGATTTGGAAAATGACCAAAATAATCATGCACTTTTTGGTTTTTGCATTTATAATCAACCAAACAAGAACTATCATCAATCGTCAAACTTCTGCTTGTTGGCATCATAAAAAAGCCATTAAACATCATGTTTCGGTTTGAGAAATCCTTGCAACATAAGCATAATATAATTACAAAAAAGCAACAATTCTCACGCTCTATGGCAAAAATTTTAAACCTTCATTTTCAAACACACTCCAAAGCGTGTCTATCTGATTCTCTTCTTTGTCTGGTGCTTTAACAAATGAGAACTTATCCATATTTAGAGGCATGCTTTTCATAATGCTAAAACTATTCTTGCCTTTTTTGTCAAATTCACGACATTTGAGTTCCTGGTTAAGAGAGGAATAGCTTGATTCAGGCATTCAGCTATGGAAGTGACTATGATAGTGAAGGAATGGAATACTACACAAGACATGTACTTAGCTACAACATTGAACCGCAAGTAAAACTAGATTATGACAAAGGTTTATGACCATCCTTTTCACGTTTGGGAGTTAAAATATGGAGGGGTGGTTTTGGGGGGTTTTTGTAGTTTTGTAACCCTTCAAAATCCTTCAAATGCTTAATTTTCAAGTTCCCCCAAATTGAGAAATTTTGAAGGATAACTAATTATATGACAACTTTACTTCAATTTTAAATAAATATAAACTCAATTATTTGAATTCGTCATATATGTGAAGTGATTTTAATTATAATTCATTCAAAACATTTATCTTTTCAAACTTGTTACTTCCAAATAAGAAGAAGGGTTTCCAACTCTTTCCCTTCCCTTCCCTTCCAATGACTAACCTTCAAAACTTTCTCCTCCACTTCCCTTCAAACTCCCAAACAAACCCTTAGACACTTAGACCACTTCAATGAATCAAATTTTATTGCTCACTACAATTCAACTAATTTTTACTACTTACACCACTGAAGTGGTGCGTTTAGTAGAATGTGAGAAAACTAAATACCTTTTCACTAGTAACTTTATAATCAAACTACCCATTTGGTAGTGCAGAAAATGGAGTTATATTGAGGGTCTATATTTGCAAAAATTGAATTGCTTCAACTTGACGGGCTTAGAGAGTAGGAACTAGGAACTCAAATGAATAAAGAGAGCAAAACTCTGTAAAGTGATCTAATGGTAAAAGACTCTGTGCTTAGGGATGGACCGGATCCGCCGATCCCAACCGGCCCGGAACTGGGTCTGCCACTATTTGTGATTTGCCCGGGACCGATTTTTTTCATTCCGGTCTAGGACCCCCCCCCCCCCCCCCCCCCCAGGCTTTGCTACCCGGACATGAATGCCATTTTTATGATAGGGACCGGCCAGTCTCGGGCCTAATTTTGTCCCTAGATTAGACCAGCCAGTCTACTCGGCCCGATTTAGGACCTTTTATAGCGGGCCAGTCCCGGGTCTCCCATTGTTTTGAAAAGACCGACCGAACTCAGCCCGGAATTGGGACCAGATTGCATTGGGTCCATGCCTATGTATATCTCTGTCCATAAACTGATTCTAGCGGTTTACCTATTTCTAGTGCACTTTGAGGTTCACATATTTGATTATTCATTAAGTCATCACATTTTAAATCAAGTTAATGCATTGTTGGGACATTTACAGTTTATACAAATGAGTTTTTATTTGATCTTATATATGTATAGGATTTTGATCCAAACAAAAAGTATGAAAAAATGTAATCTTATAGATTAGATTGGACCCAGTTCCCCTGCCCCGATATTGTTTGGGACCAACCCGGGACCATTTTCCGATCCCGGTCGAGGACCCCCTCCCCGCCTTGGTCTACATTACCGCGGTCCCGGATGCATATGTTTAGACTGCGACTGACCGGTCTCGAGCCTGGTTCCTAACGGTCAATTTATTTATTTTTTTATTTGTTTCGAGTTTACCAATTAGAGTCAATATGTTGACCGTTTGAAAGGTTTCCCGTGGCTAAAAAATGACTAGTTGAACCCCATGATGTTTGTGGGGTGCGGTAGGGGTGCCTAAAAATATAAAGAGCCATACATTAATGGGACACTATTGATATTTAAGCGCAACTCAACGCAGTTAATAATTTTTACTTCATGAGTTTCATGCACAGTATGCTAGTGTACCCCTCTCTGAAACAATTCTCTTTCATCTAAAGAAAAAGAATCTTATTAAATGTACAATATCAAATCTATTCCACAAACCTCGATTCACGAGTTTTCTTTATATTAAACGTTTCCTTGTGAGTATGAAGAGGACGAAGAATTTGACATTCTCAAATGGTGGAAGGACATTTGTGTCGGTTTCAACGATTACAGTGAAACAAGAGTTTAATTAAACTGACAACGTTTTCAACGATTATAGAACAAAATTGAGCTTGCAATCTCTTGATATGTTCGTGTGTTTCCACTATTAGTTGAGAGCCCACCAGCGGACTCAAGAACTAAACATCACCCTAACCCCCCATTACATGAAAAATCACCTTGAGGGATTTCTTAATATTTTGTATTGTTCTAATTATAGTTTTTTAACGATTACTTACACAAATAATTATATGTACCACCGTCCCGCAAAATAGTTCTCACTTTTCTTTTTAGGTCGTCCCAAAAAGTTGTTCTCATTTCACGTTTTGAAAGGCTTTGTTTGACTAACATTCATTTACATTTTTCTTACTTAACCAGAACCATACATTTTCACTTTATTCCCACTTTCAACTTCGATCCAAGTCAAACCGGGAACTCGGGAAGTATTTTGCAGGACATAGGGAGTATTATGTATAGTTCAAAATTGACATGTTTTGTATTGTTTTCCAAAATTGAAGTAATGTTTTTTAAATTGTACAAGTGAATTAAATTTTTTTTATGTACAAATACATTAAAATTTTAATATATTTAATCATTTCTTTATATTAAATTATTGAGCAGTTTGGGAAAATATATAGGACCTGCTAGTCTCGCCCGGAATTGGAAGCAGACCGGGTCCATGCCGACCTTTAGAGTGAAAAAATAGATGGATGGGATAATTTTTAAATCTAACACGTGGCATTAATATAATTTTAAGCCTTTTTTAATTGAAAAGCTAACAAAAGCGCACCAATATAAACAAAATCTGCATTTTCTGCATTTGAGTGTGCGTATAAAAAATAAAACATGTTTAACTTGAAAAAGGTGAAAACGTTTTCTATATGCTCATCAGTGCACTTTTACATATACACGAAAGTCTCGAAACACAAGCATACCCAATGCTAAGCCTGACCCTGTCATCTTTAATCCCACACTATAACAAAGATATAATAGCGAGCAAACAGGCCATAGAAAGAGAACTATAAATAACTATAAAAAGCAAAACGAAAGCACTAGGGAAGGAATCATGCATGACACTTTTGGGGCCCACAGGTGGGATAGCTGACATCGGTACCATCAAACGTGAAACTGCCATCCATCGTGGCATCCCAGTTCACAGCCATCAAAACACACAGTCAGCCATGGCCTAGACTCGCAGATGCCATCAAAGTAGTGTTTTCTACTCTCCAAGGCAGTGAAACCAATACCAATCCATTGCAACCCACGGAAGAAAGCATTATCAAAAATTTCAGTAAAACCATTAGACGACAAACCCATGCAGTGACAAAGGTCTAGCCTTCGAAGTAGGGTACTCCCGTCATTCAACCTTCCCTTGGAGGTTGCTGCTAAAGCTAACATTTCCACTGCAGCATTTGTCACATAGTAGCAACTCCTCATACACAGGTCGGTTAACTCTTTAGCTGAAGAAGCAATTGTGTCAACCGCCGCATCAGATATTCCAGGAATGTAGCTAATATCTAGAAACACCAATCCATGTCCAATCTTCCCTTCACCCTGAAATAACTTGTGAATGCCCTTTTCAGACACTCTTACAACCTTTAAGGCATAAGTGTGTAATAGCTGATCTTCCTCTACCAAGAACAGCCAGACCCTCATCAGTAATATCTGCACCGGCTAATGATAAACATGTGAGTGTGCCGAGGCTTGAAATGTACGTGAGGCAAGGGTTTGCTATACTTCTGCAACCAGAAAGGTCAAGAACCTCCAAATTCCCAAACAAAGAGAGGTCTACAAGAGCTTCACTTGTCAGAAGATTGCATGACAACAGCCTTAACTGGACAAGAGAACTGGCGACCTCCTTCATATTGTGAAATGCCAAGTCTGAGAGGAAAAATGCATTGCGAAGTTCAAGTTTTTTCAATCTCTTACAGCAGGAATGTAAAATTAGCGAGAAACCAGCATCAGTAACTTTGGAAAAACCACCAAGTTTCACAGATTCTAAGCCATCACAGCTCTCAAAGAGAATAAACATCCCCATATCATTAACTCTCTTAAAATAAACGCAACGGTTTGTTCTGTTCCGTATGATTGAGAGGGCTGTTAGGTGTTTCAAGGCCCCAAGAGACTGGAGCCCGATATTGGTTAGGTCGCGATGCACTTCCGGTTCCCACTTTGGTCTGTCTTCAAGGTCAAGATCAACCAAAAAGGGAAGAGATTTTACAATTGAGACCACTAGTTCATCAGAAATTATATCCAACACCAGTGACAAACTTCCCAAATTGAAGAGAGGAGGAGGGCCACAGGAGTACACTGGATGGTTTCTAACACTGAGTATAGTCGGTATTATATGATGGATAAAATGTTGTTCATCCACTGGCTGTAACTTCAAACGTTTGAGAGCTTTGGGCAGAAAGAGGTAAACAGATTGCAAAGTATATGCATCATCTTCACTAACATAAACTTTTAAAGATAGAGACTGCATGCAACAAGGAATTATTGTACATTAGCACTTAAAACAGTCAGCAAAGGCTTGAAGGCACCACCACCATATGTAGTGATTATAAATGAACAGTGAATATACAGCAGTGTATGTATGGGCTTTACCTCCAGACAGGAAACACCCTTAAGCATTACCACCAGGTTATTGGCAAGTTGTGGGAATCCATGCCCTGCAGCCCCTGCCATTTCTATTAAAAGGATCCTGGCTCAACAAACAGAAGCAACAAATGAACAATATAAAGCTCATTTTAGCAACATCACTAATGCTGCAATCTTTATTATGAAATGCACTCATAAAAGTTGGAGCAATTGTACCATCAATGTTTGAGCAATATTCTAGAAGTAGGCATTGCAGCCTCCCAAACAAAAAATAAATACTTGCCTTAGATTTGGGAACCTTTGACCAATTGTGTCAAGAATGTTGTTGAATGGTGAGGGGCACTTTAACAAATTTAGTTCCTGGATTTGTGCTCCCATGGTACTGATAAAATTAAAATCAACCACGCGGAGGCAATCAATAGTTAAACTCTTCACCCCTTTTAGCCTACATCCAATATGTTGCAGAGTCTTGGTGTCGGGGGAAAATGCCTGCAATCCCATTTATACATATTACTCCATCTGTAGTCTGTACCAAATTACATAATGAATCACAAAGTTTGACTTGAGTTAAACTGAACACTCTAATAATATGTAGATTAGGAAATTAGCCATACTATTTAAAAATAACATATCTATAAACTATACTAAAATTTCTATTGAATGGTAAAAAACAAATTTGAATATGATAAATATTTGACACATAGAATTATAAACTACACTGAGAACTGAGTTGACAGCACAGTAGTGAGAATAACTTTTAAAAAAATGGGAAAGGGGTATATAGATATCCCTAAAATCCAATTAAATTTATAGTTTAAGAATACAAAAATCACCTCAATCTTCATCTGAGTGCATATTTAAACGGGGAAATTCATGATTATTGAACCATTCATTTTTTTAGCTACAAAGTTTAGAACTTTAGAATAGTCTGTGTGCAATTGTGTGTGATAAAACACACAATTGTAGTGCATAAAACAAGGGCATTCATACTATGGATTGGGTAGAGAGAAGTGCAGTAGTGCATTCTTACAGAAAGATCGAGAGAGGAACGAGAAGCAAGAACTTGATAGACAGCGTAGCGGAGGGCACGAGACACACAAGCTACGGTGCAGAGAGATTCAAAGGCCAGCTTCTGCAGCAATTCGAAGATTATGTTATCTGGGAGCCTCTCCAACGAACGGAGCGAGCTCCGGCCACCACCTTCGCCAGCGGGAAGGCAATTATCGGCCATAGCCATCAGCTAAAGCGGTTACCTCCAACACTCCGACACTCAGGTGCATAAAATGGGAATCCGCCGCTTGTTTTGCGTCACGAATAGAGTTAGAGCTTCTGAGCTTGTTGTTCATTGACACATGAATAAAATCAAATTTTAATTCTCTTTTACGGTTGTTGAATTTATTTACTTTTTTAACAAAAAGTAACAAATACTGTATCTTTTTTTTTTTACAAATACTGTATCTATATTATATAATAAAACTAAAAGAAATAAGGAACAATCATATCTTTATTTTAAAGAACATCTTTTCATTTTCACATAGAGATGAAAACGGGTGGATCGGTGATACATATAATTGTATCCGTCTCATTCAATAATTTCTCTGACCCATAATTGTCTTATTACTCAACGAGTAATTTTTTTTCAATTCATAACTGTCTCGACGTGTAATGAGTATAACCACGAGTAACGGCTCTATTAAATGGGTCATTGAGGCATTGTAGTAGTATTTTAAAAAAGTGAAAATGACATCGTCTAGACGATTTTAGACTCCAGACCTCACTTAAAAGTTTCATATATCTATAAGACGAGATAGAAGAGAACCTAAATTAATGTGAACATAAATATACTTAAACTGAAAAATAATTATTCACGAAAAAATATGATAATAATCAAACAAGTTTATTAAAATCTATTACTCGTATGATTTATGAACCTTTCATCCATTCATTATAATTAGGACATCCATTATCCATAATTACACAATATTGAAGCTTAAGAATAACCTTAAATAATCTAGGATTCAATATTTAATATCATATTTTTTATCTAAATAATCTTTCAAAATATGTTAGATGCTATATTTGCTTAGTTTAGACTAGCTTAGATAGATATTTTTGACTTTTTGATGCATTGTATAATGCTACTTTTCTGGATATATACATTTACATTTTATCCAAAAAAAAAGTATTTCAGAATAATCTCTCAAACTTAATCTCCAAAGAGATCTTTCACATCATGATCTATCTCTCAAACTTAATCTCCAAAGAGATCTTTCACATCATGATCTCCAAATAATCTTAGGGATGTGAATGCCCTTACAATAATTCTTTTTCCTTGTACTACATACAAATAAAAAGGATATGTGTAGCATTGTAGAGGCATGGATATGTGTGATTTTGGATCAAATCGGAATAATAAGAATAAATTTGGTGAATCGTATTCATATCTAATTACTCTAAATGTATTACTCCATCCGTTCCATTCAAATGTTATCATCCACTATTCGCATGATCAACTTAAACCATTCTTAATCTTTTGCTTTATAAATCAAATTTTTATCAAATTTACATTTTTTAATCAGGTTTTGTAGCGGTTTTGATGTAGTTTCTGCATATGTAAATTTTATTTACTAAAAATAATTAGAGTGTGAGCAGGGATTAAGTTGCTTTATCGTCAGTCAAACATCGTAAACCGTAATTGGAACCTCCTAATGGGACAGAGTGAGTATAATCCATTAAATTGGATAAAACAAGGTGGTATTTCATAAATAAATTAAAATTCCCCTTCATTGCAAAAAGTGCATCCTAAATGAAAATAGTGCATCATATATGATCGAAAGTGTAGTGCAAAATTCATCTGAATGCAACCATGCATCATATGTGATTGGAAGTTCAATCATTTACACTTTTACGAGAATATCACTTTTATTGGAACCTAACCTCCCACCACCGCCACACACATATATATGAAGCATATAATTTGATTCGAATAAAAAAGTGCTGATTAGGTTTAAAAAGAATTGCTTATGGTCATTGATGATTGATGTAATAAAGTTGATGGATGATATGAAATTCAAAGCGAAATCGTGGTAACATTTTCACAAATATTATAAAGTTAAGTGCGTAAAAGTGCATATGTTATAGTAAGTATATACTTTTTGAATCATCATTAAAAGGTAATGCATACATTATTATTGGTCATTCTTCATTAATATACTATATTGTTAATATGATTTCAAATATATTATAGAGAAAACTCTCAAATAGGTCTCGTACTTTGGCCAATTTCTCAATTAAGCCCTTGTAGTTTGGAATCATCCAATCGAGTCCGCCTACTCACCAAAACCATCCAATCTGCCTTTTTAGCCGGTTGACACCCGGTTAGCCAGTTGAGGGTTGTCCTGGAATCCTACGTGTCCCTCTCTTACCCGACACTTAAGCTGATTTGGCTTTTCCCCACTTCAAGTCCGCCAACTCACCTAAAGCTTTGTAAAAATCCCCAAATTCCCCCCGTTACTTAGACCTAACCTTCTTCCCTGGATTTTGAAAAATAACGAACACTTAAATGAGTTAGTTAGTTGACGGGAGTTCAACCTAAGTGCTGCGAAGGAGAGGAAGGTTCGTTGTTCGAACGCTGGACTTGAAGCCCAGTGGTGGGTAGCCTGGAAGGAAGGTTGTTCGAACGTGGGAGTTTGAATTGAAGTGATGCGAAGTCCTGTAAGGTACGTTGTTGTAGTTCATGATTCTTTGCCCTTTTCAAGTGGTTACAATTTATATGAAGTTTTTTCGATGAATTATGGGTTAAGATTACTTGTGAACTTCACAATTTGCATATCTTCATGTTGGGTACAACTGAATTAGTTTAAAGTTTGGGTCATGTTGCTTGCATTATACAACTCTAAAGCTGAGGTTTTAGGTCTTAAATGTAGTCTCTTTATATGACTGTAATGGTCAAGTTCAATGAATGTTTTAGAATTTCATGACATCACTTTGAGATGAAATGTTGAAACTATATTCTTCTATTTTCAGGATGTTTGAGACTGTAGAATTAGTAGTACATTATGGGGGAAATTCATTTGTGATTCAAAGAAAATGTATGTTGGAGGGGTAGTTCAGATAGTGCCTGCAGATCCTGATGTGATTAGATATCCCCACTTGAAGAAGTTCTTAGAAGGTCAAAGCAATGGCTCCATTAGAGGTATTTTCTTCAAAACACCAAGTGCCACTATGGAGTCCTTGCATGAGTTGATTGATGATCATACTGCACTGAACCTAATACAATTAGCTAGAAGCTGTGGAAAGTGTGAGATCTATGTAGAGCATGCACAGGGTGAAGTACACCCCAAGGAGATGATGTGGAGGCTGAAAGTGAAGACCATGAAGCAAATGCTGATGTGGATGACATTAATGATGACACAGATGTAGGTAGTGATGCCTCAGGTCATGAAAGTGATGTTGAGGAAGAACATCACAGTGGTAGCTCTGAAGCAGACAATGAGGATGAAGAAGAAGAGGTGCTACATGATGTGGAAGTTCTTAACAATAATTCCACACCAATGACAAATAATGTTCCTGAGATGGAACATATACAAAGTCCTGATCTTGGGGTTGAGAATGGGAGTGAAGAAGATATTGCTAAATATGACTCATCTAACCCACCTAGCTTGCATTCTGAGGGAGAAGATGAAACTCAGTCCAACAGGCCAGGTTATGGGAATGGTTCTTATAACCCTGAATTCGAACCTGATCCTCCCCACTTTTAGGTGGGAATGTTGTTTGAGGATGGTAAGAAATTTAAAAGTGCTATGATTAGATATGTCGTTTATAATAAAAGAGATATAGTCTTTGTTAAGAATGAGCCTCCGAGAGTGAGACTGAAATGTGCCATTAGTTGTCCTTTTGCTTCTACTGCTAGTTGGGAAGAAAAGTTAAAGTGCTTTCAACTTAAAGTTTGGAATCCTGACCATGTGTGTAACTTGAAGTTCAAGCTAAGAATAGTAAGTCAGAAGTGGATTGTTGAGACCTATGAGGATAAGTTGACTGAGAATCCCTCCATGGGGGCTGCAGAGTTAAAAAAAATTGCTTCAAGTAGAACATAAGCTGAATGTATCCATTAGTATGGCAACAAGAGCTCTGAAAATAATGCAATATAACACCCAGTGTACTTATAAGGACCAATTCAAGAAAGTTAGAAACTATGCAGAGGAAATCTTGAAGGCAATGCCTGGTGGTACAGTGGTCATTAAGACAGATAGAGTAGTACCTAATGCTCCTATGATTTTCCAACGAATTTGCATGTGTTTAGGACCTGTGAAAAGGGGATTCTTGGAAGGGTGTAAGAATGTGATAGGTTTGGATGGTTGCTTCCTTAAAGGTCAGTTGAAGGGAGAGATTTTAAGTGCTGTTGGAAGAGATGTCAATAATCAGATGTATCCAATTGCTTGGGCAGTAGTAGAGATAAAAAATACTTCTTCATGGACTTGGTTTTTAGAGCTTTTGAAGGAAGATCTCTAGATAACAAACCCAGCTCAGTGGACCATTATTAGTGACCAACAGAAAGTAAGTTTACTGAATTTCATATTACTCAATTCTTGAATAAATTGCATTCCATTCATACTGATTTTAATTAACTTGATGCATGTAGGGTACATTCAATGTCATTGCTAGAGTTTTCCCTGAGGTTGAGCACATGAACTGTGCAAGGCATATACATGCCAACTGGGCCAAAAAGCACAGGGGAATGGTGCTAAAGAAATTGTTCCGGCAATGTGCTAAGTCCACTTGTGAAGGCCAATTGCAGTCATCTTTGACAGAGTTAGATAAGCTTGACACAGAAGCTGGAGCTGATTTGCGCAAGTATCCTTTCAAGATGTGGTGCAAGGCTTACTTCAAGACTGAAGTCAAATGTGATACAGTGGATAACAACTTGTCTAAGGCATTTAACAGTACTCTTGTTCAGCTTAGAGACACACCACTGATACCAATGCTTGAAGGAATGAGAGTGGCTATGATGAAAAGAATAGCTAAGAAAAGGAAGTATGTCAGGAAGTGGCCTGGTAAGGATACTCTGAATACTTGTTTCATGTTCTGAATAATGTTTACTATGTACAAGAGTAGTTTGAACTTCATTTCATCTTATCAATACTGGTTGTTATTCAGGTCCATTTGGTCCACTCATCATGAAGAAATTGAATAAAAATCTTTTGGCTAGTCAGGGATGGGTAGTTGATTATAATGGTGATGATGGCTATGAGATAAAAAAGGGTAGATTCCAATTCAAGGTGAGCCTGAACATAAGATCTTGTGCATGCAGAAGATGGGATCTTTGTGGAAT